GCTCTGGAAATCACTTGGTGCAGGAACTGGTTAGAGCTGTTAGAGAAGCAAATGTTAACATTTTTAATATTGAGGGATTTGATCCCCAGAAGGAAATAGCAATAATTAAAAAAAAGTCTATTAGGCTTTCAGACTAAGCAGCACAGTCAGCATTGCATTACACAGCGTTAAATTATTAGTCGAGGCTCAACAGCAGGAACATCTGCTGGTGTTAGACATGGCATTTTTAATTAAAGGCAGCAGCCGCCTGTGGTTCATCGGTTCTGCTCTCGCCATGTGAATTGCTAAACCCAGAAGCCACTCATAGAAGATCTGACTGGAGCAGGTGCTGTGGAGCTGGTGCTGCAGAAGGGTGAGTGACAAAGTCCCCGAGGTGACAGGCAATTTGCACCTGGGTCCAATGGCCCAGCGATCAGCAGGAGCTCTCTGTGAATCCTCACCTCAGTCAAAACTGCAAGGGATTTTGTGAAATTGAGATCACCCACCTGGTTTTTCCTCTCCTCACCCTCTGCAGGGTAGGAAAACAGGAGTTTCGAATAGAAAGCAAAGTAGGTGGGAGGAAGAAGGCCCCCCTGGGAGTTCCATTCCCAAAGGCATTAAGGTTTGAGAAGGGAACACGCTGCACCCCATCAGCTGCACTCCCAGACCCCTGGGCTCCAAGGAGAAAAAAGGGCCAGCAAACTTCAGCCGAGGGAGAACACAGGCATGATTCAAATTGCCCAAAGCCCCTGTCAGGATAGGTAAATCTAACAAATCAAGAAATAGCTGTAGATGGAGCAAAAAACGTGCCTTCCTGCCTTCGTGCACCCACTAAAACTGAAATGCTGTCCCACAGCCCGGCTCAGTGCTAGGCAGCCTCCTCTGAAGGGATCCAGCATTTCAGTAATACATTACTTTGAATCTGAGCGCAGAAGGCAAGGTCCTGATTTGTCACAGGTGGGGGCAGAGGTCCAGGGCAGGCACCAACAGCCACGTGGCGCATGTGCATAGCTGCCGTCCCACCCTGTTGGTGTGCAGGGGGCCAGGATTTCCCTCGACGAGTCCCGCAGATGGTGTTTGTTTGCTCAGCCACGATGAGAAAGGAAAATATTTGGTGCAATCTGCTAGCAGGCAGAGTCAGACATATGGTTGGCGTGCCGCAAGCCTGGGTGCTCGGGAAAAAGCAGAGCTCTGCAGCACCTTTCAGATGCTGGATTACCTTTGAGCAGGATGAAAGTGCAGGGAAACCTTTGAAGAAGTTGGCTGCAGATTTCCTAATGCGCTGGGGCTGCTGTACTGTGACCCCTCTTATTATTGGCCCCACTCTAATTAGTCCTATTACACTATCATGATTATATTAGTGTTATTATAAATAGCCCAATTATAATTAACACGAGCCTCAGCTCTGGTTTAATGCTTGGTGAAGTACTCCCTGGGTGGGTGCCCATTCATCAGGCACACACGAAACATGGGTTAAAAATGACAGAGGCAATTAATGGTGATTGGCACAGGGGAGCTGAGGTGTGGGTGCAGCATCACCTTCATTCTCTTTACATCTGATTTATGATGATATTTACAAATATATCCTTGCAACATGAAGCCTCCTGGAAATGTCTGGCCCAGAAATAACGTTCTTTGTATTTCCCTTTTAGTTGAAATAAAAATAAATCCTCTAAAATGCTCTCAATATTCAGATGTTCATTTCCCAAATAGCAGCTCCCGATTCCTGATCAGGACTAACCCCCACTTTGTGCTGAAGGGCAATGGGGCCGTGAGCTGCCAGCTGTGATCAGGCCCTGCACACCCATCCCACCCCATGAGAAAGCACCGTGGGCACCACTCATGCCACTGTAAGCCTTGTTCTCTTGGGGTGATGCGCTGTAATCTTTTTTCTTCCCCAAGTGGAGAGAGCACAGAAGAATTTCCTTTCTGTGAGGGCACCTTTGTCAGGATTTAATTCCCTTTTCCCTGCACATCTTTTGAAGACGTACAGCCCCTTTGAAGCTCTCACTTTTAAATTCGCCTTTTGGCTGCCGTCTGCTCTGCGACATCGATCAGGGCTTGGCACCACCAGTTTCATCAAGATGAGACATTGCCGGGACTGTGGGCACAGGGCATGTTTGCAGGGAAAAGTGCCAGGACTTTTTAACAAGAACCCTTTCCTTTCCCTTCTGCTGGAGGCTGGAGGCTGCTTCCAAGCCCCGTGGCAGGGACTTGATGATAGGAGCATCCTTGTGGTCCTGGCAGCCCCAGGCTCAAAACATGGGGCGTGATGCCATTGGTGCTGCTGTGGTCTTGCTGTGGTGCAACGGTGGCTCAGCCCCACTTTTAGCCTAAATAGACCCAGAGGTGAGCTGCATATAAAATAAATAAATCAGTTTTTAAAAAAGGAAGATTGTGGTGTTGCTACAGAGATAGGAGGATGCAGTGCATGGGGAGCACCGGCCCTGTGCCCTGCTTTGGGGACCTGCTGTCTTGCTTTTCCTCCAGGTGCCGCATCCATGGGTGACTGCAAGTCCCATGTGCCCAGCCTGAACCATGGCAGAACCCTGGGTTCAAAGCCCCATGGCTGCTTTCTATGGAAAAAACAAGGAGCAAACACCCCAGTATGCCTCTGTGTGCTTGCAGCTACAGGTATGTACGTTTTAAATAGGTATGGGTTACTTTTTTCCTTAGTAATCCCTACTAAACCCAAATTAAAATGCTAACAGCTCCCAGTGATTTATGCTGTTACGATAAATAACAGCAGACACTTGCTGCTGAGCGGCTGATTAATGATCCCTATTTACAGTGTGTCCAGCTTTGAGCTGCAGCTTACAAAAACAAAAATTCTCCCCCCAGAATCTTCCCTGTCTGGCCCCAGGCTTTTGCACATCTGCTGTCCTGGGTGCACAGCCGTGCTTCTGCCTGGTTTTTAAGATATTTCCTGTAAGCGTGCAGGACAGCATGCTCTGTAATATGGCCCAAGCTCTCGCATGAGCCAGAACTCATAAGCAGCAAGGGGGACACGGTGGGAGGAATGAAACACAGCAGCTTCCATTCATCAGGATGAGGCCGATGAGCAGTACAGAGATCTAGCAGCCCCAGGATGACACCCATCCCCACCATTTAACCTGAAGTGAGAAGCAGTGATGTATTGTTCTCACAAGCTGATTTCAGGCATGGAAATTGCCCTGCGTGGGATATTCACAGTGGAAAAACAATCCCTAACATCAGGCTCTGCAGGAGCTGTGTGGGTTTGTTGTCTCACGGGTCAGGGCTGTCGCCCCACCGGCTCGTCCACTAATTACATTTTTCTGTTCTCTGGCAGAGTTACGTCCTTTTGGCACCTGGGATTCCTGCCATCTCTGCAATATGAACTCTGTCTGAAACTGCATCCTCGGCCGTGCTGCCTCCACTGCCCTGTGTGTAGGTGTGTGCACGTAGGCTAATGTTCATCCCCAAACCTCCCCTGAATGTGTGTTCATTGCCACAACCCCATGGTATAGGGTTTAGGGAACCTGCTTTGGCAGGGGGGTTGGTCTCGATGATCTCTAGATGTCCCTTCCAACCCCTACAGTTCTGTGATTCTGTGATTTCTGTATTCCCCAATGCTGCCAAATTTTTGCAAATCCCAGTTTACAGCCCAGCCCCGAGGAGGAGGCTGCCTTTAACCAAGCAAACCTGTGACTGACAACCGGAGGCTTTGTAACAAGCCTACCACCTTTGACTTTGCCATCCACCCATGCGTGGCAAAGAGCTGTTTCAGGGTAAAAAAAAAAAGAAAAAGAAAAAAAGAAGAAGTTGCTTGCTGAGTCTATAATGAGGATTCTCAAATGCCAAAGACGTGGAGAGCAGGTTAAAGGAGCAGAGCCTCGCTGCCCAGGAGAGGGAGGGAACGGGTGCAGGCACTCGGGCGCATTTGCACAGAGTGTTATTGCAGCACGAAGCATCACTCTGTGAGCAAATGCTCCCTGCGCAGTGCTGCGCTCCCTGGGGAGGCTTTAATAATTCCTAGGGAGGCTCTGAAGGCTAATAAAAAAGTGAATAAAGAAGTCAGCCCCAGCAATTGGTCTCCTCCTCCTTCCCAGGGAGCCTCAAGCTGCCCTTGTTTGTCGGGCTGCTCAGGTGCAGCTCTGATTTCCCCAGTTCCTGAAGCAGAAGGAATTCAGCAGCACGGCAGCCTGCTTTGCGGCGATGGATGGTAATTGTTAATCTGATTAAGCTCAAGGTCTTCCATTTTGCTCATCTTACTGACACTGGAGATACTTAAAGAAACACTCGAGAAGAAGCATGTGAAGACACGTGAAACACCTGCTTCTGGGCACCTATCAGTATGGTGCAGGATAGCATGATTTGGTGCAATTTGACATGATTTTGCATTGAAATGAGATCCGTGAGGTTTTAACACACACCAACCCTCAGGCTGGTGCACAGCTGACAAAGAAGAGACTCCCTCAGCTTTGTGTGCTTGTTGACAGGATTTTAGAGAGGAATTATTAGGGAACAAGATGAGGTCCTGCAGCCCATTGCAATCCAGGGCAGCCTGACTACGGACTTAGACAGGTTTGCAGCTAAGGCTCTGAGCCTGCACTGCTGGCTCTCAGCTGGGTCTGCCTGCCTGCTGCTGTTACGCTCAAGAATGAGGGTGAAAAGGCATTCTGGATTCCCATACTTCATGCAGAGATGTCAGAGAGAGCTGAGAGGCACACACAGTTATTCTCATGTTTCTAGCATCTCTTAAGATTTGGTTTGAAAATATATGCTTTTTTTTAAAAAAAAAAAAACACTTTTCTCAACAAAGTGAACTCAGATGCTTCAGCCTCCAGGTTCCTGGAAGCAGGGAACATTCAGTACACGCAATAGGGAAACCCCTCTGCCCTGAGGAGGGTGAAAATCTGTTCTCTTTTGAATCACTTGTACCTAAATTGCTTTCCAGCTATCACGTGTTAGAGAAAATTGCTATTAAAATGCTGAAAATGTGTTGTTTTTCCTTTGCCTTGCTCATGTGGCTAGCAGAGGATAGATGAGGCAATCCCAGCTCAAGTGAGGGATCTGCTGCAGCTTGCCAACTCCCACTGCAGCCTCCCAGCAAAGAGGGCCTCCTTGGGAAGCACCAGGCTGGTGCCTGCTGTGGTTCCTGGAGCATCTTGGCAACAAAGCACAGCCTCCCACTGCCCGGTCCTGCTGGCTAAGGAGAAATTTCTCTGTCAGGAGCAACATCTGCAAGGTGAGCAACTCTACAAAGATATTATTTTCTTGAATTGGAGAACAGCCTTTAATAAGGTGCTAGGAGGAGGCTCTGTTTAACTAAATCTCAAGCTGGGTATCCCTAGACCTGCCTGCTCTGGTTCCTGGTTTCTCCATGCTTTTAAACAACAAGCACTGGTTTGTACTGAAGCACCACCAGTCACTGCTGCCTAGAAATCTTCAGCAGTCCTCATGGATATGGGTCACCAGGCAGACAGCAGCTCTGTGCTCAAGGTCCTCTCTGCGTAGGTCGATGAAACGCCACGGGTGTAATTAAAGATGCTCTGCTAATTGGATGTGCAGCCCTGAGGGATCTGCTTTAATTGGATTTCAGTCTGCTTGGTATCGTTTTAACTTCAGTACATGGCTGTTTTGCAGAGGAATAAGCCACCAGGTGTGGATATGGAGGAGGTGTGCCATCCTGCACTGCACACACCTCTGTTTTTACACTCTGGCTGTGAAACCACCACTGCACAATAAAGCCCAGGGCTTTGTGAACCCCCCCCTTCAGCTGGCAACTAGGACAGAGACAGTGGAGGGGCTGGGAGTTCACCTTGACCTGCTAATGGAGGTAAAATCCTCAATTATTACCTTGTCTTCCCTTTGATTTTTTCTTGTGTGTGTTACCATAAATCCTCCCTCATGCCCTCAGGGTGCACTCCTTTGTTTCTTTCTTGGAGTCTGAGAAGAGCTCATGTCTTTCTAAAAGATGTTTCCTCTCTATAAAAATGCTTGTTTGGGCAACAAAGCCACTGCTTGGTATTCAGGAGCCTGTGTTAAATTGGAGGTTGGGGTGGATGATCAGATTGTTGCTTTGGGCCTTAAAAGCTGGGGGAGCACCACCACGGATTTCTCTTATTTCTCAACACAGAACCTTCAGGATTGCTCTTCCTGGTGATGACCCATTTCCAGAACCAAGGATAATGGAGAGGCATCAGGCTTCAAGTTTTGCTCCATGGGCAGCAAGCATCAGCCACAGCTTTTCTTCACCCTGGGCTGCGTGTGGCCACTGCCCATCCTTCCATTCGGCCACATGCTGGCTTTCAAATGCCACAGGATTGCACTGTGACTGGTCATTCTCCTAAGAACAATAGCCCTTCGGGGTGACCCAGGGCCTCCTGTGGCTCCCCCCACATCACAGAGATCTGGGGGGCTCATTTTGGATGATGTGGCCCCCGAGGAGGCCGTCCCCAGCACTGCAGGGCTGCTCATCCTCCCTCATTGCCAGCACTGCGTATGCAAGCTGCGTGAGGAGCAAAGCCAACAGTAAGTTAGTGTTGGCCGTGGCCCATACTAATGTTGTTCTTACTATTTCAGTGCCATCTTCCTTATTTCCTCCCTCTCCCTGAACAACTAAATTAATTAGAGTGATTTTTTTTTTATTTAAATACTGTCGTGGAATAATAATTCTGGCAAATTCGTTTCTGTCATTCCCCACTGCTTCTTTTCTCTGTTGCGCTCCCTTCTAATATGCTGTAGATATTTTGTTATAGCTATGCAAGATCACAGCTGTTGTCTGCAAAAAAGAGGGAGTAAAATCATGCTATGTGCTGTTGCCATCTAAAAATCATTTTTCTTCTTTCACCAACTCACATACACTGAAAAAAAAACCCTATTCCACTATGAAGTGCAGGAGCTTACATTTTTCTTGGCTTGTAAAAACCCCCAAATCCTTTACAGCCTCTTCAATGAAGCAGCAGCAATGTAAGAAAGCTGAGGCACAGAGGACAGGCCGGGGTCCCATCCTGTGCTTTGCTGGTTTCTGGAGCGACGTTGACCCGGACATCTTCATTTGACATATAAACATGCTTGTTGTCCCAATGCAGGGACAAAACCACTACTGTGGTTCTCACGAAAGGATGAAGAAGTTCCATCAGACCCTCAATATTTACTGTAGTGATCAGGGCTGAGAGAACCGTTGTTTGATTTGGCCCCACAGAACAGCTTTCCTTTTGGCTGCTTTTGGTGGCCACTTGCATTGAGGAAGAAGCCAAGGAAGGATCAGGCTTGAGAAGTGCCATGCTCTCAGCAGCTGTGCAAAGCTGGGACAGAGATTTGAGTCAGTGTCTGTTAGTCCACATCTCCAATTACAAAACTGATTTGAATCCATCTCACAATCCACACAACCAATTATGAAGGCTCTCCTTGACTCCCCGGCCCTGGGACTTGTTTAGTGTTGTACTGTGCACACCTTGTTGCTAATATTTTAAAGCATTCTTAAATGAAGCTCAGCTGAAGCCCATCAGTTCCAATTAACACACACAGGCCTTGTGATCACACTGTCAGGGTGTTACTGCTCCCCACTGCCTCCAACAAAGGTTACTAGAGTGGCTGAAGCGAGATTGCATTAAACAAGTGAGATGAAAAGCTTGCTTTCCCCCTGGCTGCAGCATTCATCTCTCACTCACGGAGAGGTGATGTGTAGCAGTATGCAGAGCGCTCCTCTGTTCCTTCCAGGGACACCGGGGTCAATGTTTTCAGTGATCTTAAGCTCCCTGCTCAGACCAAGAGAGACAACCGGGCTCGCTGGCTGCCTGGCTTTATTGAAAATGTCATTTTCTGAGTGGTAGCTCTGTGTTTCTGTGCTGCAACCTGAACGAGCCCTCCTTGGGGAGACCAAGGGGCGATGGGAAACCCAGAGCTGGCTTTCAGAGGTAGGATGTTATTAGCTTCCACATTTCTTGTCCTGGAGCCAAGCCTGGAGCATGTCCTACCTTAAAAAAGGACAGGTTGAATCTACAAGGCTCAGAGGGGAGTTTGTAATATAGCAAAAAATGGTAATTCAGGCCCTGGTGATGCTTCCTGCAGCCTACTTGCCAGATGCTTCAACCCCCTGAGCAGTTGTAACTACTTCTCCGCAGGTTTCAATTAAATTCCCTTAAGTACCTAAACTTTTGCTTGTTTGGACCAGTATCTGCAGACCTGATTGCAATAGCAGATGTTTTATTTTTACCTGCAAGTGAAACTGGAGAGCGTATATCATGGCTGTGACACATTTCACATGAAGCAGATGTTTCTATTAATGCCAGAATTGGGTGGAAATCCAAAGGATGCTTTTTGCTTTTTTTTTTTGGGGGGGGGAAATTCTGTTTCACCCAATTAAACTGCAAACTTGCTGAAGTATTCCAATGAACCACTTCCTTTTTTTTTTCTTTTTTCTGTTTTTTTTTCTTTTTTCTCCTCTTTTTTTTTCATTAGCAGGCTGTAAAGGGACAAAAGAATAGCTTTGTATCAGACTCCCTCAATTAAATGTAAAGTACATCTGGACAGAGCCTGAAGATCCATCTTTCACTGGCAGTTGCAAAGCCATCGACATAATAAAATAATACTCTGATTGGTATTACAAGGCTGCATTTAAATCATTGGCATTCATGCTCTGCGTCCGTTGCAGGGAGCGCAAGCCCTCCATTAGAGAGAAGCTTAATTTTATACTGTGATCTGTGTAAGATATGCAATGAAAATGAGAGGGGGAAAAAAGCTTTTTCAGAGCTGGAGACGTAATAATAGGAGGCACAATGAATGTCTGGGCAGCATTTGCAGTTACTTATAAACTGCAGGTGTCAAATGCATTCTGGAAAGAAGCTGAATTCCAAGTTTTAATTACAGCCAGCAGGTTGAGGCATAATTCAAGGCTCGATAATACCTTCAATTCATAGGAAAACTCCTCCTGCTATCAGCAAGAAGTTTACACCGAGATGAAGGAGAAAGCGTGACCTCCTCGCAGTAGCTGAACTCTCAACTTCTGCATCCCACTGTAAAATCCTGAACAGCCTTGGTGCTTACGGCGCCTGTTCCTTGTGCGATTATCTCAGCAAGCCTTCGCATCACACGAGAGCTGAACTGCTAACGCTCCTCTTGTGATCGGGATGAGAAAGATGTGGCATTGCGGCTTCCTTCTACTGTTCCCCTTGGCTCAAATGTAACAAGTACAGCTGTTTCACACTGTTTGCCACCGTGGAGAAGCCCTGAGCACCAGCCAAAAGGAGAAACGGGCTGCTTTGGTGGAGCGGTCTTCCAAGGGGTAACAAGAGCTGCCTGGGAGCTGAGGGCCTATTCTGCGTGTCATGGAGGGCTGGAATAAACCGAAATCAGTGGAAGCGCTGACTTTCAAAATAGTTATATTTGTACTGACATCACCCACACATACAGAAGAGCTTTATGTCATCACCAAAGATGGCCCCACCAACGGCATACGCAACTCAGTACACAACACCTACACCTTCACAACACCCCTGTGAGGCGGGGCAGCGCCCTGAGCCCTATTTCACAGGTGGGGAGCCTCCCAACTGAGCAACAGAAAGTCTGTTGCACAGCAAGAAGGAGAGCGTGGGCTTTCAGAGGGCAGCCACAGGGCTGCTGCTTTGTCAAACACCCTGCACTGCCAGCAGCTCCTTTGCTCCATCAAGGCCATTTCTCCTGTAAGCAAATGGCCATAGCCAGCAGGAGCAGGTGATGACAACTAAATCCTTACAGGTATAAAATTCATCTTACAGCTAGAACTGGGGAGAAAAAAAAAGACAACCTGTGAAAAGATCAATCTGGCTTGTAACCAAATGCCAGCCTTAAGTGCCTACCGCATTCCTAGTAACAAAATAAGTGCGTATCAAAAAAGTACTTTAAGTAGTCGTGACTTTTTATGCCTACCATCCTAGAGTCACAGAAAACAAGAAGAAACTGGAAGAACCCCGAGAGAGGTCAGGAGGCTTTTTCCCCAGCTCCTGTGATGCCTTGTGGTAGTGCCCTTTCAGTAGATGGAGCTTATGGTGCTAGCTTGGCTACAGGTGTCAGAGCTGTCCGATGTCACATCAGGACCAGCATCCGTGCCATCAGGATCTGCTTGATCTTTAGCAAAGTCGATGAAAACCTGTAAGTTTAAAGGATGACATTCAGTATGTGACAGTGCAAAGAGCTGATGGTGTGAATGAATAAGAACAGAGGAATGGCTGTACATTTGGCTGAGCCTGGAGAGCGTGCTCAGGAGCAGATTCGCACTGCATTTGAGAACTGCAAATGTTGTGGGGTTCTTCTGGCTTAACGTAAGTCAGTGGATGCATACTCCTGTACTGCTGAATAGACACCTGGGAATCCAAAGGTAGATGTCCCTGCAGAACCTAATTGTCCTGCAGCTCATGTTTCAAAATACTAGTGAGATAATACCCCCGTGTGGTAGTTCATTTTGATTACAGTGTAAGACATCTATATTATTACTTTATAAACCTATCTGTCTATATATAATTGACATCTATGCAGGCGCAGCTGCATATTATATAGGTAGGTATATATAATCACACATAACAGTCTGTTTGAACAGTATCTAATGAATACATAAAATATTCTTACTGAAGCACTACAGTCACATTTGCATACACAAAATCCGTGCCGTCCTCTCACAAAACATGACTTGGGGCTTCCTGCTGTTTGTCAGCTGGTTTCTCTCACTACCACTGCCCTCATTAAACAATACTGAGGATATCCCTTGTCCCCCATATCTGCTCAACAATTCATAGTATTACAGGGCTTGTTTTCTAACTCCTGTCTCTGGGGCAGACCTTACAGATCAGATACTGATGCTCAACAGACTGCTCTCTTCTGGATAAATCCTTATGAATCCCTTCATCTGAAGCATTTTCTACAAGGTTCAGATGCCAGTGGGAATGTTGTTCCAAGGGACAATGATAGGAACATGCCATGAAAGCTAAGTTTGGAGTAATGCTCCATGAACTTACAATCCCAATACAGCACAGGAAAGAACAAAATCAAGCAAATTTCCCTGATTGTCAGGAAAAATCTGTCTCCAGGATGCCTAGCATTGAGCTGTGGGATGATTCATAATCCTGCCCTTCATCTTCATCCTTGAGACTGCCGAAATCAGCACCGACAAGGAAGAACAGATCTTTTATGTGACAGGCAGCACTCTGTGTGTTTTCCCAGTGCCAGCATGGCTATCTGGAGGCAATAGTACTGATAAAGTATCCCCAGGAGGAATATGGATGGAAATCCCTTTAAAATGGAGTCTATTGTGTGCAGCAGTCCATTATGTGCAACCATCAGTCTGCTCACTCCCCTGTTAACAGTTCAAAATGGATGGCCGCACATCCTTACCTCCTCTAGCGTCGTCTGACTCACTGAGAAGTGCCTGATTTTGAAGGTTTCTTTGCTGGCTTCCAGGAGATCAAATATATTTGCTACCCCTCCTGCTGAGACTGGAACATGGTACTCCACCATGTTGAAATGACGATCCTGCAGAAACAACAACGATGGGGTAGAGTTAGGAGGCTGCCTGTGAAGAGCAAGCTGCCTCACTGGCTGTCTGGCTGAAGATGAAAGCACAAAGGAGCTAAACCAGGGGAGAATTTAAAAGACA